TTTTGCTGAGGATGTGCGAGAGTTTCAATTCCCTTCCTTCTCTAATTTGCCAGCTTCGTGGCAGCCAAATGGACAACAGCTAGAGGCTGCAGCTAACTTAATAAAAACACTTGATCTCGCACCGCATGGGCAAGAGGAAGTTTTGCTACCTGACTTTACACCGAATCCAGTGTTGGAGGTACTTGTTCTATCCACTCATATGTTTCTGGTTCATATTCTCATTTTTTCCTTGATTCACTCATTGTTCTATTTTTCTTTTCTTTATTTTCTTCTGTCTGAAGGATTTGAAGTTTCACTTTTGACTTGGGATTGTTTTAACTAGAGTTGTGATCATTGCATGAGGTGTGAATCTGCATTGCATTTAGCATGAGAAGTAGGCTTAATCTTTGTTATATTGTATATTTTTAAAGTTAATCAGCTTATTTACCCCACTGAAAAAATTAGCATTGATTTCTAATAAACTATCCCCTCCCTCCCCTAAAAAGGGTAATCTTAAGATGTAGTTAACAGATATTTCTTCGACCTTTCAGCGCTTTTATCGTTTTCTTGAGCTGAAATCAAAGGACCCAGATGTGGCGGTACCTCCTATTGATGATACACTAAAGAAAATTACAGAGCCTGATGCAGACCTGCTTTTGCAAAACAAATCGGTAATAGAATCATTTTGTAGGTCTTTCGAGCTGAAGGGAAATCCTTTGGTAAGATTAAGTCCTTTGCTCTTTTTTTTTAAAACATATTGTGATGTTTTTGATAACCACATCAAAGATTTACCTACATAATATCTTGCTGTAGAAAAAGTCTAGGCGTTTATTGGGAGGAAAGAGATCTTTTTCAAATGATGAAGAGGCTAAAGAAAATGTTACTGCAGAACCTGCCAATCTTATTGAATATGCATCTGTTAAAGTTGAGAAAATCGGGAATCTGACTCCTACCCAAGATTTTGAAGCCTTGATTTCCCGCAGAGATAGTCCAGATTGGGTTGTAAAAGCTATCAATGAAATGAAAAATAAAATATTTGACCTGGTGGAGGACTCCCACGAAGGTGATAACTACCCTAAAGCATTCGAATGTTTAGTTGTGCTTCGTAAGGGTTGCATCCTCGAGCAGGTAACCATCTCCCTTATTCGAGCATGTAAAAGATGGTTGAGGATTTTTCCCTATTCAACCCTTAATTTGTTATCATTCTTTGAATTTCTTTTGTTTTTTATCTGCCTTGGTTTTTAACTTGTTAAGATTAAATTTTTATTTGTGAAGGAACCAAAACAGTTCAATGATTTCCTTAAACATCTATGTAATTTCTGCCAAGAGAAAAGCCTTAACAGTTTCTGTCAATATCTTACTTCTAAGGAACTGACGTTGATCTCCAAAACAGAAGCTGTTGACAGGTTCTTGTATTAACACCTTCCTCTTTATTCAATTCATGCATATGTTTTTTTCTTCATTGGATCATAATTTGTTATTTGAATTCTTCACACAGTGATGTTACTGATGACGAAGCTAGAAGTTTCTTGGTTAAATCTGAACCAAAAGTTGAATGATTCCTCCACTATGTGTAATGAAATAGAAAGCTTCATTTTGTTTTGTCTCAGTAATGATTAGATATCTTGTATAAACAACTAATTTTTGAAAAGAAAATATATAGAAATACATTGTAAATAATATTATTTGTACTCACATGAGATTCTGCCAGTTGATTTCATTTGTGGGAACTCAGAATTTGGTAAGCTTGAGTTCATCAAGCGTACGTGTTCAGCTCTATAAACTTCTGCATTCTAGTTTCGAATATGATATATCAAAACCAGACAGTAGAAGTATGATGCAGTAAGTTGGTTTAAAATTCTCAATCTCCATGAACCAATGCCATTTTTCTCCTCCAATAGCAGGGTGTGATGATGGTCCATTGAATTTTGATCCTTAACAGAACATTTTATTCCTATCAAAACTAGAAACATATTCAATGGAAATAAAAGCCTTTAACCAGAGACTCTTTCATGCAGCAAGAACTAATAGTTATATTGAATCAATAATCTTCTGTGGTGCACTCTTTCATGCATGATATTTCAATTTTAAGTTCACTCAACAAAATGCTTGTAAAATCAGTTTTGTTCTACAATTCATTCTCTTCCCCTATAATTAATTTAGTAAAATTGTATTTTATTTATTAGATTATTTAAAAATAATAATTTAAAATATTTCAGTTAACTCTTTTTGCAAAAAAGTTAAAAAAATTCCTATGAACTGTAAAAACATTAATTTTTATCCTTTAAATAGGAGTTCAATGTGGACCTTTTTTCATAAAAAGAATTATAGAAATTTTCACTGAACTATTTTTGCAGAAAATAAAATATTATCCAAAATAAAAGATCACAGAAAATTAACATTTTCTAACAGTTGCGAGAATATTTATAAAATTATTTATGTTTCTAGTTTTTGAAATTTGGAGTAAATCATTTTATAATCTTTTAAATTTAGAAAAGTTTATTTTAATGTCTTAAATTTATTAAGAAAATATAATTTAAGTCCATAAACACTAATTTTAAATAACTAAAAGTAATTAAAATAAATCAACCAGTCCTTTAAATTTAATGTTTAGATATTAAAATCATAACCAAATTACAGATGACGATAAAATGACCTCAGTTTACTGCTTAAGTCAAATAAGTACCTTTTTTTTTTTAAATAAAAAAAATTCTTGAAAAATCATTTTTAGGTGAAATATATTTTCAAATATATCCTACCAAAAGTTGTAACTATTGGAACTGAAATTGCATTATCAATATTTGCATGCACAAAAATAGCATTTTAATTAGTTAAAAGTTAAAGAAGTGTTACAAATTATTTTAAAATTTTAAAAATAACAAATGTTCTGCAAGAATTTTTTTATCGTGAAACTATACTCAAGAATTATATAAATTTAACAGCATTAATTAATTGTTAGGCATTGTTTTATAGAAAAAAAAATGAAATAAAAACTTGTTTGATTGGGCTGGACATTGAGGGACATGTTTTACTAAGCCCATGTTTCTAAGACTGTCTGAATAAAATATTTTTACTTAATTAAAAAATTAATATATTTTTTCTTGTTTTCAAATTTACGTTGTCAATTGTATTAAGAAAATTGTAATTGGGACACTGATAAGGAATTTATTTTTAATTTTTTACGATACATTTTAGTCTTTTAAATTTAGATTAAATTCTATTTTTGTCTCCAAAATTATAAGTGATTTTTAATGCTATAAATTTGTTTTCATTTCCTTAAGTTTAAAATAATTTTTTAATTCATCAATTTTTTTCTTAGCTCACTTAAATATAGAATCCATTTTAATTTTCAATATTGTGATCATAAAAAAACTGTTTACGCGAGTAACTATCTATTAAAAAATCTACTTTATTTTATTCATTTAAGCTCACTTCAAAACCTCAATTGAATGAAGGTTTTAATTTTCTCATGCCTTCTAATTTCAAAAATCACATGGAGGATTTAATTCCTACACACTCTTTTTTTGTTATAATTTTTATTTATAATACTCTTTTTGTAATCTATTACTTATTGTTGGTGTTAATTTTATCACTTATATCCTAAATGTTATGAACAATGTTGCTATATTTTTTAGTCATGTTATTAATTGATGATATATTGATCATTATTATGTGATTTCTTTTTCACAAAAATAAATAAATAAAATCATGCTCATTAGGTGGGACTGTGTAAATTTTTTATTTTGGTCCTAATTAATGTAATACAACTTATTTAAATATTTTCATAAAAAGATTTGTACTTAACAATTGAAGAATAAAAAAACGGGATTTTGCTTAAAATGGTTATCCGACAAAAAGAAGATAAAATAAGAATTTTGTTGAAAATAATAATTCAGAATTAAAATGGAATAATACATATTTTTATGAAAATAATATAAATTTGAAGAGTGTAAAATATTTATATTTTTGCAGTATTTTGATCTAAGATGGCCTCGCCCATTTAATAAATATATACATAATTATTCGCTTAACAATAACAATTTTAGTAGTTGGATTATTTGTGATAAGGGATATAATTATGAAATTATTGTTAGTAATTTATATATACTTATACAGAATACTGAATAAAAAAAATGCAAATTACTATATATATATATATATATATATATATATATATATATTCCAAAATGAATAATTACAATTTTTTAATTTTTACTAATTCAATTTTTTTCTTTCTCTTTTTATTGTTTTAATCCAATTTGGTCGAAACCAATTCAATTATAATAATTGATTAAATTTAATGTAAAATATGAATCTTTCGCTTATTCAAATTTTGAAGTCCTCCACTTTACCTGAAATTACCAAATAATCCATATATAGGTAATTTTCAATTTCTTATGCTCCCATTCATCTTCATTTTTCATGTTTTCATCCCCATCTATTAACCTAGTAAATGACACAACACTGCTTATATACAACATTGTTTAAGAAAAAAATGTTTTAAATGAAAGTAATAACTAAAAATAATATTTAATTATTAATTAAGTTAATGACAAGAGTTATAAAATTTAACAAGCATTCATTTTAATAATTTTAATACTAGAGTAAATTTTGTTATAAATTTTAATATTACAAGGATTATTAAATACCATTGATGAAAATAAAATTATCTAAAGTTTTTTTTTTCTTTCACTAATAGGAAATATTGATTTACATTTTTATACTGTGTATATTGTGCCTGAAATTTAACCTACTTGAATTAGGAATTTTTTTTTTTTTTTAATAATAAGCATGCTAAGTAGAAAGGACAGGACTTTGTGAGGCACCGTGAGTTTGACATGAATGGAAATTGGAGAGCGCAAAGCGTAACCGAAACTCAAGTTCCAAGTGTCACACGTCCTACGTTCCTTCCTTCCCCCTCACGTATATAACCACTTTCTCGCGCTCATTCAACGACTCCAACGGTTCTCTCTCTCAACCGCTTTCGCTTCGCAAATCTGCGTTCGCAGCTCCAATCACCCATGTCGTTATCCGATTTCGAAACCTCCCACGGCGGAACATCGGAGTACAAGCCGTTCCGCCAAATCAGTCGCGAACGTAGGATCCGTTTCCTTCCCCTTTCTTTCGTTCCCGTTTAATGTATTTCGTTTAGGATTAGAAACTTGGCTTTCAAGCTTCGATTTCTCGCTGTTAACAGTATCGAAGCTTCAAAGCACTGAAACATATCTCAATCTGCATTTCGTTTGGGATTGAATTTCGGCATGTCATTTGAAACTTTCGATACGTCGCGTTTGTCATTTTCCATTTTATTTTTCTCCTAACTTTTGATACGTTCAATCAGCTAGAAAATTAATCAGTAGGTTTGTCCGGTAGAAAGTTGTGTAAACAGAAATATGAATTTCGTAAATGTGCTCTGCATCTGCATTTCGTTTGGTTTGGAAGTATGTCATTTGACTGAACCATAAGTTGTTCTACGAATGTGAAACTGAATTTAGATAGATTAGTAAAGTTTCATAATCAAATTTTATGAGTGACTTTGTTTTTTTACATCGATTAAGCTACTAGAAATATATTCTACAATAATGTCATAATGACAAAAAATTGTTATTTGTGATTTTTTCTTCTCATTAGCTTTGATGAATCCAATGATCCAACAAGAAAATGAATTTATTCAGAGGAAATTGTGTGGAATGAAGTATTAATATCGTAACTGTTGTCTTTCCTTATTTTATTTTATATATTTAAATCAAATAGGAGAGGAAATTTAATTAAGTACTGTGCATGTACTGACTTCACTTGTGGCTTGTTTTGTAATCATTTTTCATGGTTGGATGCTAATAGGGTTATTATATGAAATGCTTGGATCGGCAAAGTCACCCGATTCGAAGGCATGGAAGGTTTGCCTTCAGACTTTAATGTGGATATTTTTACCATGTTTATATCTTATCATCTCATTTTCAGTTTATTCAAGCTGATATACAGCTGATATTGGTCACTTTTCCTTTTCTCTTACAGGTGCTCATAATGGACAAAGTCACAGTGAAAGTTATGTCACATTCGTGTAAAATGGCAGATATTACAGACCAAGAAATTTCCTGTGAGAACCCTACAAAATGATATCGCCTTTTGATTTTATCTATAATTTCTGCGTGTCTTCTTCAAGAGCCTATTTACTATCTATTGACTGAGGGCACAAAATGTAAAGATGTGATTGTGGACATCACTGCCTTTGTTAGAAGCACTCATCAATGATAACGATCCAATGACCTAACACATACAAAGTGATAATAGATTTCAAATGCTAATCTTTTCTTCAAACAATTTGAGAAAGCCAGGGAATGGGATTAGGAGTGTTTCTTAGAATGTATGCTATTTAAGTGATTGGAGAAAAATAAGGAGTTAAAGGACCAAACTTAGATCTAAGTTTTATTATCCTTGAAGGAGTAGATAAACCCCACCGAGTTCTGTAACTCAATGGATGACAAATGGAATTCCTTTTTAAAATTCGGCAACACACATTAGGTATAATTTATTTAATATTTGTATAAACAACACTGGATGTCACCATTTGACTGAAGAACTAGTCCAAAATATAAAATCATTTGCCACAATACTTTTCATTCGTTAAGTATATTATCATGTTGTACATGACATTGGTTAGTCTCTGTCTTTCTACACTATATATATATATATTTTTTTTTTTTTCTGTTCATTTTATCTTATGTTTTTCCTCTACATTTACTGAACCAACTTTACAACTTCATCTGTTCTTTGCTTACTCTGTTAAAATACTGATAGTAAGTTGATATCACATTGCAGTGGTGGAAGATCTATTTCGGAGAAGGCAACCATTACCATCTTTGGATGTTGTTTATTTCATGCAGCCTTCTAAAGAGAAGTAACTTCCTCTCTTCATTAGAATTTTCCATACTTTTATGTCAGTTATATTTATAAAAGTATTGTAAAATTTAAATAATTGTTTTATTATTCCAGGACAACCTTTTCATTATAACACAACATTAATTGGATTTTCGTAGATATTAGTATTATTTATTTATTTATTTTTATCTTCCTTCTTATTTAAAAGATAGGAGCAAAAATTTTGCTAGCATTCACTTTCAAGCTTGCAAATGTGCATAGTTAGCCTGTTTATTTGCATCTTTCTGTTGCCAAATTCAATTTCGATACATATATATATTTGATTGGACAAACTTCTCTTTAAAGAGAAAAATAGAAAGAAATATTAAGATTAGCTTTTAAGCTAAATTTTCCTAATGTTCAAGCTAATTTGTAGAAACTATCATACATAATTTCTCAAAATTTTTATTTTTAATTTATGCATAATCTAATTTTTTTTTTTATGTATATGAAGAAAATTTATCTCATTTTTTTTGTATTTTTCTCTCTTAGAAGGAGAAACTCCATGTTTATTTATGAGAAGAAGAGGCTTCTTGTTGTATCTAAATAAAAATTTCTGAGTGTTTATTTTTAATTATTTGCTACTAGGAAATTGTTTGTAAGAATTATGTTGAGAACCTGCGTGATATTATCAATTGAGGGTTAGGAAATATTTTTCCTTTAATTCAATAATAGACGTCTGTTTTATACTGTGTGGGAAAGGAGAGAGAGAGAGAGAGAGAGAGAGAGAGAGAGAGAGAGAGAGAGAGGATGTTAAAGAAAAATTAAAAGAAATAACTTCGAGACATACTGATTCTTCTTCTTAACTTGTAATAGGCAAACCAAAGTTTTTGTGAACCATCACCACATAAAGATTCTCAGGTTGCAAGGATTTTATATTATTCAAAAATTTCTTTTGAGTAGATACAAGTCAGAAAATTTCCTAAAGTTTTGGTGTTGGCTCTAGATATTTTATGCATTGTGAAGTTATCATGCCACCCACACAAATATTTGGAGTATCATCTATTCATAGAACGACCATTACCATTAGAGAATGGGACTTGTCTAATACAAGATGTCAGACAGAAAAAATAGTTCTGTATATATATATTTTTTTAGATCCAGGTATTGCAGCGTGCCTCTCCATGTTCCCTGCCTTGAAAATACAATTATTCCATTTATGTACAGCTGCATTATGGTAGAAGTGAGGAAAACATATACTGCCTCTGAGCTTTGATGCCCACACTAAATATATATATGAATGGACAATAGACAGTAAAAAATTGATTTCTGTCAACATGGATGTTTCATTAGCAATAAGCATCAGTTTCAAATAATTAAAACTTGCCCAGCACTGGCAACTTGATTTGTAAAATTGTCCTAATTAAGTATACAATTGTTACACTTCAAATTAAGAAAAGAACATCTTTTGATGTCCATGCCATTCATCAATGTACCTTTTCCATCTTAATCTATCAGCAATGTAAGGTCACTAGTATTTGTATTAAATTCTAAGTCAGGGTCAATTATTTCTCTAATCCCATTTGTTTCCAATTTTATTTCCATTTTAACCCAGTCAACTGTTTCCTCTTCCATGCATTAATTTGAACTGACTTCTTTTCCCTTTTGTTATTATCCATATTAAACATATCTTTTGCTAGCTTGCAGTGTGGTCATGTTCCTGTCTGATATGTCTGGAAGGGAGCCCCTGTACAAGAAGTATGGGAAGCATTCTAAATTTTCCCCAAATGAATATTGTTTCAACTTTTTTAAGCTTAACTCAGGACAAAACGTAACATCCTTTTTTTTATCCTTTTAATATGGGGCGGGGGACTGTGTATTTTTCAGAGCCTATATATTTTTCAGTTCACCGATCCCAAAGGAACTTGTAAACCACATCAAGTGTGATACAAGTGTCTTACCCCGCATAGGTGCATTGAGAGAGGTCAAGATTTTGTTCTTCCTTATCTAGTTGTTATCAGCAAGTGGTCAACATCAAATTGTTTATTTATTGAAATTTCTTTTGGTTCTATTTTGCAGATGAATTTCGAATATTTTCCAATAGATAGCCAGGTAGTTATTGAACTTGGCAATTTATTTGGAATGCATACCTGGAAAGAAATAGTTTAGTAGATTAACGTAACCTACTCAAAATTTGGGAACATTTTTATTTAATTGTTCATGATACTGTCTTAGTTGCAAGAATAAACTACCTGGATGAATTTAATTCTTTCAAAAAGGAATTCCTATATACATGATTTTGTCATATGATCCAAAGGTTTTATTTATTTATTTAATCTTGCCAAGTCTAAATTTAACAATGTTCTCAAGGAATTTGGTATTGCAGTGCATTCGAAGTCATTATATACGTGACACCACCAATATAGTGATAGTAAATATTATTTGTTTTCAAGAGAAAATCACCTTGACCTTTTTAAATGATGTTCAAAACCAGGGGAAAAATGAGTTTTCTACTGAGATGTATATGATGCAGGGGTTTACCACTGATCAAGACACAGCATTGGACGACCTTTATGGCAATTACCAGAATACTCGCAAATTTAACACCAGCTTGAATACTATGGCAATTCGAATAGCTACAGTTTTTGCTTCCTTGAAGGTATTACCTACACACCTTATACGCTATATTTGTTATTAACGTGGGTTAAGATGCTAATGGACTGCTCTCGACTCACTGAAACGAGAGAGTTACAGGTACTTTTAAGTCATAATGTTTCTTCTTTTCTCCATGTTTGCTCTTTGCATATTTTTATTTAATATAACTTTCATTCATATCGCTGTGTTTATATTTTGGTGTACGTCTAACAAACTTTTTTGGCAGAAATCACTCAGAATCAAATAATTATTACGTTATGATTTCCTGGGATCCAATAAATTTTATATTTGTGACCACTTCTGTAACTTTTACCCACTATTTCAGTCAAGCATGCTATGGTTGTTTAAATAGGTAGCGAATTTGAGTCGAAATAAACTAGATTACTCTTTACTTGTATTGCAAGTTACAACAAAGGGCATTCTTTTAATGAGTAAATTGAGTTAAGACTAATCAATAAAGAAAAAATAATTTATAAGGTAATCATGATAGTAATTAAATGTGTTAAAGATAGTAACTATCATTCATTGGGACGCATAAAAAAAACAAGTAATCATGATCTATCCATAGCATGTTTTCAAATTCTACCACACAAGTTAAACTTGATTTTCCCTAGATTCCTTAACTTCTCCATATAAGGTCTCACTTCTGAAAGAGTATATACATATGTTTCTATCTTTTTAGGAGTTACCTTGTGTGTGGTATCGTGCTGCAAAGGAAAGTGAAGAGACTACAGCAGCAGCAGTTCGAGAATTAGTTCCTACCAAGCTTGCTAATGCTGTTTGGGACATGGTTTCTAAATATAAATCTACCATTCCCGGTTTTCCACAAAATGAAACTTGTGATCTGCTCATCATTGACAGATCCGTAGATCAGGTTAAAACTGTCTATTTACAATAAATGTTTCCTTTTATATTTCACCTCCTGATAACCTGCGTTAATCTGCATCACAGATTGCTCCTGTCATTCATGAATGGACTTATGATGCTATGTGCCACGATCTGTTGAATATGGACGGAGATAAATATATGCATGAGGTATGACTTTTTGTTTGTTTTTCCTTCCCTTCGTCATTTATAAAAGTAAGGCTACTAAATTTAAACTTTATACTTACTAATAAAAAAAATATTTGTTATTAGTTTTTCTAAAACAAAAAGGCTACATATATTGAGAAAAGAATAAAAAACAAAAAGTTTCTTTTAATATTTTAAGAATGTTGATATTTTGACATCTTAAAAAATAAAAATATCTATTCAATATTTTTATATTATTATTTATCTATCTTATTTTATTTTTTCTTCATCCATCAATCAAAATAATAATATTTTAATATTTTCCATAAGATGATTATAAATATTGCTGGTCAAAAAATCTTTTTGCATATTTTAATCATCACTCTCTATTGAATAGGCATTCGGATATACAGGCTTTTACATTTTGCTGTTTCTGATTTTAACATAGCAATCATGCTAGGTTCCCAGCAAAACCGGGGGTGAACCTGAGATGAAGGAGGTCCTTCTACAAGAGCATGATTCAGTCTGGCTTGAACTTCGCCACGCTCATATAGCAGATGTACGTCTCCTTCACTATCGATATATTTGGATAAAGTGTTCATATCTAAAATATTTGTAAAAAAAAAAAAAAACGAAATAAAGATTTTGTTAAACTGAGATTTGTTTGTTATATTAGTTTTTCTAAAAAATATTTTTAACTTTTCATAAATTAATTTTAACTTAAAAACATTTTTTTATTCTATATATAAATATTTAAAGGTAAGTTTATTCAAGTAGACCTTATATTATCAACTCAAAATTCACACATTTTTTAAATCTCATTGATCGTTTACCGACTTTAATACCAGGCTAGTGAAAGACTGCATGAAAAATTTACCAATTTCGTATCAAAGAACAAAGCAGCACAAATGCAACAAAGAGGAAGGTTTGCATTGGCACCTTCTTCCTTTAAGGTTTTCATTGTCATTATTCATTTCACTCACGTATGATATGTATGGCAAGTTTTTTTTTTCTGAGAAATAATTACTTATTTTTAATATTACTTAGAAAGGATTTTTATTAAAAATATTTTGCTAATCCAAACACATGGCGATAGAACCAAAGGAGAGAAGAGAGAGAAAATATTATAATAAAAGGATATATCTCGCTGTTTGCTTTGCAATTAAAGGAAAAATATGAATAATATACTATTATATTTTTATAAATATTAACTGGAGTGCTACTTTAAGGCAATTTTTTTTATTTAAATATATTTAAACTAAAAAAATTATTAGTGAGATTTCTTAAATGAAGAGTGAAACTTATATGATTTTATATTTTTTGACAAATTTCATACAATAATAAAGTGTATCTGAATGAATTTGTAAGAGAGTGTATTGTTAGTATTTCTAAATTTTTAATGGAAGGAAAGTAAAATAAAATAACATCTCATTGAAACTCTATAAAATATTATAATCCATTTTACCTTTCAGAGTCTCTCATCCCTTTCCTTCTCTGCGTTTTCTTCTGACTAAATGCACTATTAATCATTAAATCCCATATTGCTTTAAACCTTATATTTTTATTTAAAATACTTTATTGTTATGATTATATGGTGATAAATAATATCACAAATCTGGAATTTATGGTGGAACGAGAGTATAAATGCCCTTAGTACTAGTGGCTAATATTTCAATTTATAAGTCAACAATACAGAGCAGAGTTAAGTTATACTTGGCCCCAGTTAGAACAGCCTCAGACTAAAATGTTCGACAACTTATACTGCGCACCTTTACGCTAGTGTAGAGGTGAATCATGATTTTGGTAAAATTATTAAAATTATCTGAAAATTTTTTATTTTATCTCCCATGATCTTGTATATTTAAACATAACTGTTACTCTGATAAATCTACGCGTAATTAGAATATATAATTACATAGTAATAATTATTATTAATTCATATTATTTAAAAAATAAATTGTCCCACTAAGACTAAGGGTATTAGATCCCCTTACACTGTTAGTTACTTAAATAGTTAACGTTGTACCAAAATAATAGGAGGGACACAATAACAGGTAGGCTTGACACAGAATTATATAGAGCCGGAGAACCATGGGAATTAGAGAGAGCAAGGAATCGTCAGGATCTATATAGTGGTAGAGTACATAAGTAATATACACAGGGTTCTATCTTTCATTCTTGTTGGAAATAAAAAATAGAGCGCTATAGAAGGAGTTTAGTTGTAGTAACATGGTTTCGGGTTTTGTATCACATTGACACTGATCAGGGCAGTTTCTGCAATAAGTACGCCATTATATATAAATTTTATTTTGCAAGAGACATTTTGTGTATGTATATAAACTTAAGATAGAATAAAGCAGAAAAAAAAAACAGAGAAAATGAAGATTAAATAAGAAAATTAAGGGAGTGTAGGTTTAATTCTCTAAGAAAAGAGAGAAAAATTAAGAAGAGCATGTGTCTCGTTATAATATGAGGGGATACTGATCCCACCTGAACCTAACAAAGATGAACAGTGAATTTGGACTAAATTAATATTAACTACATATCCAGCAGGAAGTATATAGAGCCTCCCAAGCCTTCTCCAAACAGGTTACGGCGTTGCCTCTTACTTATGCACTTATTTTGACTAAACCCAGTTGAACATGCCCACTTATTCTGAACCTATAAATTTGATTCTCGCAGAGATGGTAATGAAATATCTACGCGAGATTTGCAAAAAATGGTTCAAGCATTGCCACAATACACTGAGCAAGTGGAAAAGATTTCACTCCATGTAGAGGTGATTTATTACATCTAAGTTTCATCTTCTAATTTTCTTCATCGTTTGTCCAGGAATAGTAAAGTATTTTGGCTGCATCTCGAGAATAATTGCAATGGAATGTGAGAGAAGGCAAATAAATGGCATAATTCTTGATGAATAAGAACCCATGATGGCTTTAGATACAAATGACATACAACTCTTTCAACTTGATAAGGGTCACACGGTATTAACAAAAGAAATATATTATATGCTGACCATTCTGCTTGATGAATTCAAAGCAGATAGCTGGAAAGATCAACAAAATTATCAGAGAAACTGAACTTAGAGCGCTTGGACAGTTAGAACAAGATCTTGTTTTTGGGGATGCTGGAGCCAAGGAAGTTATTACCTTTTTAAGAACAAAGCAGGTCTTGTAATGAAGAGATATCAAAATAGTCAATATTATTTTATAATGAACAAAATGAACACTTTCTTTATTCAAAATTTTGTTCCCATGCAGAGTACAACTCCTGAATATAAGTTGCGTTTGTTGATGATTTATGCATATGTCTATCCAGAAAAGTTCGAGGGCGATAAAGCTTCAAAGCTGATGCAGGTCATTATCAACTCTTAACAAATTGTCCATGTTTCGTGTTTTCTCCAAATTGTTATTTTTATTGTACATGAATATAATTAATCTGCACATGTATGTCTGGTATTTCCACTTCTCATAACTTCAAAGTTTACTATAAGATGCTCTATATTCTCATGAGATTTATATTCAGAAGGTTAGGTTGGGTGACTTTGCCTAACTCGTATTTTCTTCTTGATTGCTCTAAATGAACTTTGAGATATGACTTTGCCTCGCTTTATTTATTACTTACTCCTATATAATCCTGGATGAGGTGTCTAAGACAGGACAAAATAAGAGCTAATCTGTTTTTCAAGGAATGCAGACTCTATCAACTATTACAATACTAATTTTATAATCCAAGTTAAAAACGCATTAGAAAATTCTGTACAAGAGACGTGTGTAAGTTGTGCCCAAGTGGTTTTATATATTGATGGTTCTGCTTGTCTAATCAGTTGGCAAAACTATCACCTGATGATATGAAAGTTATCAGTAACATGCAACTGCTGGCGGGATCATCATCAAACAAGAAATCATCTACTGATGGTGGGTTCTCACTCAAGTTCAATAACCAGAAGGTAAACATATTCATTTCACTATTTAGAGAAAGTTTGGTAGATACATATGGTGGATATGATGTGATCGACAAGAGAATGAGATATAATGGAATAATGATATGATAAAATAAGAGTAGGATAAATTATAAGTGTATCCTATGTTTGAGGGAGGGCCTTGACCCCCCATTTTTTTTTATAATTATATTAATAATAAAAAATTTATATTTTTAAAATCAAATAATAACATTTTATGTAAATTCTATTGTTATTATTATAAAAATAATTAATGACATATTTAAACATTTTACATAAAATATTGAATATTATTTATTTTTCTTAATACTACGAAGTATAAATAATTATATTTAGAAGACTTTATCGATAAATTTTTAGTATATAGTATTATTGTGAATAATTTCAGAATTAAATACTATTTATCTACCTTATTGTCGTAAACTTAATTATGAATATTATAATGATTGACTGTTTAAGATTTTAGATACACTGTTTAAACTAAGTATACACTATGAGATATTCTTCTTGTATCTTTTCTCTTGTATTTTCTTTTTTCATTTTTACATTTGGAACATAGATTGTGATGTTCTAACATTTTTCTTGGCTTATTAAGCATATGGATTCAAACTTGTCATCATGTAAATTTTAAAATTAATATTGGGTTTCATTTTATATATGTCAATACTTAATTTGACTACATTATTATTATCAAATTTTAAAAAAATATATTAACTTTTGATGGTTCTTAACATTATCCGGGGAATTAACTTATATATCAATTCTTATTATAAATTAATAATGAAAAGTTGTGTGACCTGATATCTGTGCATCTTTACAAGAAGAATTAATTTATCTTATAATATGAATAAATATTATATGTAACAAATTGACAATTATAATTTACATTTTAGATATTTTATTATTTTTATATGATTTGGATATTTTAATATGAATAATATTTTTGAAACACAAATGGATCTAGTAAAATTCCCGGTTACAATGTAAATATTTTTAACTAATATTTTCATTAAAATTATATATATTGATAAAAGAAAATTAATATATATTTTACAAATTTATATATTTTACAAATTATGGAAATTATAAAAAGCTTAATTTTAAAAAATATATTTTGTTTATATAGCTACTTTTTATATCATAAAAAATATATAAGATTTTTAAGTTATAATTAAATATTTAAATATTAATTATCTAATTTTAATATTTCGATAAATAATATAGTTTAAATTTATGTGTAACAATAATTATAAATATAAATACATATAAGATATGTTAAATAATTATGATATATAATATTAATACAATTATATGTTATATATATAGTTACTTTTCTTAAGATTATAAAAAAATATTAAGTTAATGACAAAACAAAATTAGTGAAAAGATAACTATATTATGCTGCCACAACAAAAATGAGATTATAATATAATAGGATAACTATTCAAAGGTAATTATCCTATAATATTTAGATAGTGGATTCATTGTCGATAAGAATTTTATATATATTCTAGAGCAAGGATGATATTTCTCTTGCATGCCCCTTGTCAATAACTTTCTTTCACGCCAAATATCTGTAAAATGGTTGTGCTTTTTTTTTTTTTCATAGATAAAGCATGCAGCTCGCAAAGATAGGACCGACGAAGAGGAAGAAACATGGCAATTGTTTCGATTTTATCCCATGTTAGAGGTACGACGGAAGATCCTGCTATATAACCTTGTTTTTCCAAATTCTTTTTGCATACAAAATGCTACCTTTAAGGTTATTTGATTTATTCCTTTTCCCTTTTCTTTTTGGCTGGGTTGGGGGAGAGACTGAAGTTATCATTTTTCGGTGTGATTTTGGTCGGTAGCCTATTCCTTGTATGGTCCATCCATTCATCCCTATGACTGAACTTTTATTGATAAAAACAGATCCTAAATTTGGTTGCAATTAATGAGTAGAAATTTTAGGACCTAAGAGAGCCACTTATTTATTTAAGTTACATTGCATACTCCCTTCTCTCTGTATGTCAAGTTTCATTATTAGACTGAATTGGGTGCAACAAGCTGAACACTAAGAAACCATTTTGTTTGGTTAAACATAGCATGATTAGCATAAAATATTATTTGTTTTCCTGTATATGATCAAATGTAAACTATAGATGGCATTGCGTTTATTAGGAGCTCATTGAAAATCTCAATAAGCGTGAATTGCCCAAGGATAAATATTCGTGTAAAAATGAGCCAAGTTGTAGTAGTGTCCCTCCAGGGGGTTCAACTAGAAACGGTCAAAAACCACAGGCAGCTCCGACCAGTGCTCATAATTCAATTAAATCCAGGAGGACAGCAAATTGGGGACGATCTCGTACTTCAGATGATGGATATTCAAGGTGACATGAACTATTATCTCAACTCAAACTTGTTTCGTTACCAGAAAAAAGTTGCGCTTTATTGGTTACAGTTTCAACTTTCAACAATGATTTTATTATTTTTCCTACCTTCGATAGTGATTCCACGTTGAAGAATGTGACTGCTGATTTCAAGAAGATGGGAAAGCGAATCGTTGTGTTTATTATTGGCGGGGCTACTCGATCTGAGGTAGAGTATGATGAAAAAAGAAACTTTAGGAAGTACATATGTTTAAATTGTAATATTTACTTTTACTAGTATTTTCTTTTTTTAATTTTCAGCTGCGAGTTTGTCACAAGTTGACTACAAAATTAAAAAGGGAAGTAATCCTAGGTACTACTTCCATGGATGATCCTCCACAATATCTTACGGTAATAAGTCCTTGTTATTCTCTTCTGCACATTTTTTTCTCACAATCGGTAGGCTCTTATCATGTAAATTTTAAGTTAAGCAATGCCCGGATTTTGTAGATCATCATACGTAGGTGTTTTCTTTTGTGGTGTTGAAGGTTTCTTTTTTTGAGTTAAATTCATCTCAAATGATTACAATCTATATTTTCTGGTTCCACTAACGTGATTAAGTTACCTTTTTAACTGTAGTGATGATTCTGCACTTACAAGTTAGACTTCCGGAAGTTCTTGAGTCTGAGGTTATATCCCATATTAAGTGGGACTCCATTTTCACCTTAGGGATATTTTTTTTCTACTGAAAACCAAACAGCTTGTTAATTAACCACAAGAAGCTATTTATATTTAGAGCATTTGCAATGCAAAAACAAGATAGAGTGAAACAGAGAAATATATGTTAATCAAAATATATGTTAGAAAGAATGTCATAACAAGAATACTACATTAGGTGGATGACTTACATAGCTGTTGTGGCGTATGAAATTGAATCCTATAGCCAGAAGATAAGTTTCTGAAAGCCAATCACCCAGAAGCTTTGGGCATGAAATAGGATATATAGTTGGATGTCTCCTTGCATTCTGTGAGAAAAAAGTACCATAGACCGATATTGTTGGGTAGGAAAAAGTATATAATTGAAGGAGCTAGCTGCTGATTTTATTTTTATTCATATTGTTGGTTGATTAACATTTTGATGATGTGGTGAATGTACAGAAATTAAAGTTATTGGGCGACAGCAAAGTTCCAGTAATGGATGGCCTCGGCATATAACATTTTCCTAATTACCAGCAGGTTGGCAATAGCCCTTTTGTATCAATTATAATTTATAATTATCCCTAATTGTTTAGACGTTAGAAAGTTTATTCTTTATACCTTATTGACAAGGGATGAACACACGGGGCCCTTTCAATTTTTGTTATATACAAATTTTGTTAAAAACACCTTACCACACTCTCATATTGGACATTTTTGTTTTAAGCTATTAAGTATATGTATTTTTCTTGTCCATTTCAAGGGAAAGATACCTTGATTTAGTATATAAATTATATTTTCCTCTTCCATGTTCTCTTTTTCTTTTAAAACCTAACTATACGTTGTATTTAAAGCACAGAAAAGATATTTAGACAATTCTCTTCAAAATATAATCTTCTAATAACTCATTTAATAATATAATAATAATTTTAATTACGTTTTTTTACAATAAAAACTTTTTATAATTATATTAATAAATTTAGTTGTCTATTTCTTCCCATAGAAAAAAAGTGTCATCTATCCATTCTCTTGCTGCATAATGTCATCTCTTTCGTTCACTCATCTATACTTTATACTCTCATCTTAACACTTTTTAAAAGAAATTAAATTTTAGAAATTTATAAAAAATTTAAATAATTAAAATTATAAAATTTCAAATTCTAAAAATATAAAAATTTATGAAATACTATATTAGAGATAATGTGGAGAGCAATTTGCTTAGAATTTGAAAATATTACTAATTTTTCTACACAATTCAAAAGGACTTGATTAGAAGATAACTAGTTCATACCTAAGATTACATATAATTGAGATAAAGTTAAACAAATTAAATTTACAAAAAATTTTCTATTTTCAATGAACAAAGGACAATTTAGACAAACTTTATCGGTAATTACAAATTTAGTTGTAGTAATTGAAACAATCAAACTAGTGTCTAAAAAAGAAATTGACAATTCAAGGTGTTGAATACAATTATTGGAAATAAATGAATAAGTTGCATCTGAATCATATAGTATATTTAAAATTTTATCTTTAATGAAACACATACCTTGGATCAATTATTGTTTTGAGGAACTTCAACTCCAAGTCATGGTATATACTCTCCATATTGTTGTAAGTCTTGCCTTGGGTACATATGGATTCAAATTTAGTTTTTGTTACCAACATTCAGAGAATATATAACCATGTTTTTTACACTTGAAACAGATAAGTCTTTTAAGATCACAATCTTTAGCATAATGATCATGTCCACACTCAAAATACTTAAGGTGATTATTCACAGGTTTATTAGGATTTCCTACAGGAAATTGGCTGGGTTGATATCTCCATTAGAGGCGATTGTAGGACTTTTCTTTATTTTGTCTCCTTTTATTTTGCTGGGATTCGAAATATTTTGATTTATTATTTTAATGGTTTTCAAAATCCTTTAAAATTCTTTGTGAATAAGCGAAGGGAAATAAAAAATTTATAATATTCTCACTACTTTTCTCAATTTAGGCTTAAGTTTATTATCAAATTTTATATAATTCATCTTTCATCTGAGTGATAAAAGAACACAGAGTATTTTCCTAACTTTTTTATACTTAGAGACATCCTAATGTCATACCTCATTACATTAATTTTATAAATTCTATTTCTTTTGCTCTTATCACATCATTGAGAAAATATATTTCTACAACTTTTTCTCTTCTCCCAACTAATGATTATTCTTCCTCCTAATAATATTCTGGTACTATCCCACTAATATTCAACCTCTTCTATCAACATAAAACGTAATTCACCTTTCTGTCAGGACAATTTATTACTCAAAATATTTTTCTAATTCTTTTATCCATAATTCAACCTTTTTTAGATTATAACCTATAGAAAATTATGGAGGTTTGTTTCTTTTAAATTCAACTAAACATTTTGATTCATTGGTTCCTTAATAATGCAACATGTCTTTAATAGTTGATACTCGTTTCTGTCAACTCATTATTCTTCCTATTATATGTCATATGGAATTATACAAGATAAGGACTTCATAATATTTTATGATAGACTCATTCCACATGTCACACATGAAAAATTGCTCTTATACCATCTAATATGGTGTTCCTTTTTATCCCATTATTAATTTAACCATATTTTAAGAGATTATTATTATCTATTAAATTAAATCTTGATAAAAGTAAGCCATGAGATAAATATTTATATACAAATATATGAACTTTACCAGTTTACATTATTTCTATATTAAAAACAATTATTAAACTTGATAAACATTTTTCTTCTAAAAGTGGTTGATTTTTTCAATGATACTTGTTTTCCATTTTGATACCTCCATCTATTTAGGTTGATGTTTTTAGTTATAACATGTACAAGAGATCGCAATAGAGAAGTGAGAATAATTATCATATAAAATAATAATCTCATAATGATATATAAAATTTACTTTTTAACTTTATCATCATATTCCATTTATTTTATATTATGAAGATTTTAATTAAATTTGTAGTATGTTAGGATAAATGAGCCCAAATTTATTCACTATTAAAGTAATATTTACTCATTTTAATACCCAAGGTCCAACCTACATCTACAATGTCATCAAATCTTTATAAATAAACTATTTTATTCTTTTAAAAAAATTAAACAAAATACAATAATATAAATATAAACTAATTAATAAGGATCATTGCATAACTGAAAATAAATATAAATATAAAATATAATCGTAATTGGAGATAAAATAAATAAATATAAAATAAGATCAATGCATAGTTAAAAATAAAATAAATAGGACAGGTGTGTAACTAGAGATAAATAAATAAATATAAAATAGGATCAATGTGTAACTCAAGATAAATATATAACTAAATATAAAATAGGACTAGTACCTAACTCAAGATAAAATAAATAAATATATAGGAAAAGTTCAGTAATTGGAGACACATAAATAAATGAATAAGATCAGTGTGTAAATGGAGATAAATGAATAAATATAAAACAGGACTAATACGTAACTAAAAATAAATATAAAAGAGGACTAGTGCAGAATGGAAGATAAATAAGATAAGACTAGTGTATAACTTTATATAAATAAATAAATAAATATAAAAAGCACATGTGCGTAATTGAAAATAAAATAAATAACAAAATAAATACATTCAGGTTACACCTCACACTCAGTAACCATAATTAAAAATAAATAAGCATGATGATCAATATCTCTTCCCCCTACCTCAATAATTGAAGATGATACTGTTGTAACCAAAATCATCATCACCTCTCCTCCCTAGCCACCGCGGTCGACACTCGCGCCATCACAGACCACCTCAATCGAATCACCCTCATCCAAACCATGACTCGGTCTCCTTCTCTGAACCCTAGACCACCACGTCGCGTCTCCATCCCGCGCTACCCTCACTCTCGTCTCATGTGGCATCCTCTCCCCTCTTTTGTCTGGGATAGGTGCAGTTTGTCTAGGAGTAGGAATAGCATGAGCTCAAGAGAGATGCGGTTTGTCTGGGAGTAGGATTAGCAAAAACCGACTTCTAATAGTGAAACAAATTAATCTTGGGCTCAATTGGTAAAAGATTTTTGAGCCAGATAAAAAATATAGTTTTTATTTGGGTTTGGAAGATGAAAAATAACAAAAATAAGATTCAAATAGTAAAACAAGTCAGAAATAATTTTTATTTTTTATTGGGCATAATATATTTTTTCTTTTGTTTTATTTTGTTAAACTAGACAACATAACAAAAAAAAGCAAGTTATTAATAGTAATGAGTCGAAAAATTTATTATTATTATTATTATTTTATCCAAATTTCAAATGAAAATTATTCTTTTTTTTTCTTAAAAATGATTTAAATTAGTATATAATTATTAGTATATTGACAATTAAAGTTCAATAATTATAACTTTCTTTTCTCGAGTGTTATTAAAAATGCAATATTATTGTTATTAGAGTAGTAAGGAAATATTTCATAAAAGTTTAATGACTTTGGATGCATATCTAATTTGGTTGCTATAAAATTATAATAATCATTTCAAATGTACTTTTAACTTGATTATAATAAAATATTTAAAAATACATATATTTTGAATCCAAATAGAAATTATAAGTAGAATAATTTAAACATTTAAATTATTTAGGATACACTTCGATTTAATTATTACTCATTATAAAAATGGTAATCACTTTAGGTATACTTATTATATAATTATCCAATCTTAAAATAATTGCAGTGCATATGTTTAATTTAGCAACACAAATAGATAAATTAAAATAAATTATTCACAAATATTTGTAAGAATGAACTACATTTATTCCGATTTTTCATTGCACTTGGGGATAAGTAGGAATAGAGAGATAATCTCTGTCCAGACTAAAATATAAAAATATATAACCTTTTATTTTTAGTAGTGTAGACCCTAAATCTTGTCCGATCTCATAAATAAAGGCTAGAAATCCTCCATTCAAATATGGACAAGGCTTCAAATAGTCCCTAGGCATATGTACTAGACTCCATATAAGGATAGAAAGACTTTTTGTACGAAAAAAATAAGAAAATAGGAAAATTATAACAATAACCCCCAGACAGCCGTCTCAGTTTCCCAAATGATCGTCTCGTTTTCCTTTAGGGCGAGATGAACATCTCATTTTTCTAGACGGACGTCTCGTTTTTCCTTAAGGCGAGACACCCGTCTCGCTTTTCTAGATGAATGTCTCGCTTTCCCGTTAAGGCAAGACGACCGTCTCACTTTTACCTTTTGGCGAGATGACCATCTCGTTTTTCCAGATGGACGTATCGCTTTTCCCTCAAGGCAAGACAACCGTCTCGTTTATTTAGACGGTCGTCTCACCTTTCCCTCAAGGCGAGACGGTCGTCTTGAAATCCCAGACAGTCGTCTCACCTGTCAAAATCCTAGACAACCGTGCTGGCCTATCTGGCGCATTTTCGTATAAATAGGGCCTCCATTCTCTCATTTCTACACATAATCACCCAATTTCACACCCCTAAGCACTAGAGA